ATTTCAAATTTCATGAAATAATCTCTTATTTTTTGAAAATTATGACCATAAAAAGTTTTAACCCCTCTCAATCTGAAGATGCTGTAAACATTGTAGGGTCATAAAAACTTAACACAAAGAGATTATTGCATGAAATTTGAAATTTGTTGATGAATATAAACTTATATGAAAATACGAAAGAAATTATTTTATAAACTTGTTGCTCCCACTTTAAGGGCTGGGTGGGCCCAAAAATTGGTTTTTTTTTGTCCCCAAGCTCCAATCACCACAACTTTTTGCAAAACATTCTCATTTGACATAAACATGAACATACAAAAGTTTGGAGTTTGTACAATGCTTGTAAGTGTCAAAACTCAAATATCTAAAAATCCAGTGTACACCACTGATATATATATATATATATATATATATATATATATATATATATATATATATATATATATATATATATATATATATATATATATATATATGTGTATATATATATATATATATATATATATATATATATATATATATATATATATATCGATAAGAATAACTACTAAAATAGCTTTAAAAAAATATTTAAAGAATATTTATTGTTCAACAAGCAAAAGCTTTAAGACTTCAGAATCTAAGTTAACAGTACCAATAGATTTCGTTATTTTGAAGCTGAAAGATGAAATTATTGGATCGCTAAGTAATAGAAGATAATGATTTTGGTTTTCTCAAAATTTTACAAGTATGCTCTAGTCTTACATTTCTAATGTATTTATTTTGTGCTTCCTGAGCCTTTTCTGAATATATACCTACTGGGAATTCAAAGTATTCAGAAATTTAAAAGCCATGCTCCAGTAGCTTGTGTACAGTAGGTGGCATTATGTACTAGTTATATTTTTCAACAATTATTTCAGAAGTATTTTTTAAAGGCCTCCAAATTAAGGTGGTACCAACTGCATACAGCTTTCATTATATTTCTCAATCTAAGAATAATTTCAACATCAACTCTCATAATGCGCTGTATTTCCTGTGTTTGAGGAACCATAGCCATGTTTTGACATATCAACAACAAGACTAAGCTCATTTCTAAAACAATTCTGAATTTCAATTTTACGCTCAATAACAGAAAGCTTAAGTTCTTTTGATCTTGCTTGATACTTTTTAATTTTCATTTTATAGCCTAAGTGTAACACATACTCAAAAATTCTAATCCAAAATCCAAAAAGTAATCCAAAAGTAGATATTCCCATAGTAAGACATTTTTCATCAGGAATAAACATCCTGATTTTTACTAAATTGTTCATTTCACTTGGTTTTGCAAAACAAACATTGCACGATTGGGATGAATTCAAAAGCATGATATCATTTACAGACTTGCCATCAAGCATAGTTAATTTAAAAACAATTTTTATTTCTATCAAACAGTGCTTTTTATTACAGAGATCTAAATTTAAAATATAGTAGATTTTCAAATTGTTTCCTAAGCCTAATTTCTTCTTCTGCAATAAGTTCACTTGTTTCATTTTGGTATTTTAATTGAAGAGGTCTACAAAAATGAGGACTGGATGGCTTTGGATTATTCCAGATGTTAGAATCCCTAATTATTAATTTTAAAGGAACTATTGCAGTTTGAAATACAGACTGTTCATTCTGCACTCCAGTAGAAAGATCAGTGTAGTCAAATCTTTGATTATAAATACTTTGCAAAGATGACCCGTCCATACTACATTTCAAATTAAATACCCCATGGGTTACAGTTTCATCTAAATTCTGAAGCACCTCATAATTTAGTTTTAAAATTTGAGACAAAGTATGGTTAATCATGTTCTGTAAACTACAATTTACAGACGTTTCTGTAATAAGCAAATCCTCTGGATAAAAATCTGCTTTTGATTTAAGGATTGTTTTTAATGGAGGATAAATGTTGGCATTTTGCACTAGAGATGAGTTTCTAATCATCTGATATTGTAAATCACTCAAATCACAATGAATTTTAAGCGATAAAGTTTGATCTGCAGACATCATAATTGGTTAATGTTTATCACTTTGATTTGTTTCATTTTTATTTTTAGAAAGTAGTTTAATTTTCTTTCCCAAATTAGATTTTCCATTAGTAGATTTTGCACGTAAAATAGCAGCTTCTGCACGAAAAACCTCAGCTTTTAAAATGGCTTGCAAGTTCGCATTATTTGTACCAACTTCTTCAATTATGTTTATAAGTTCTAACCTTTTCATGTTTAACTAATAATAACGAAAATTCTTTAGTAACTTATTGTGCAACGTTTGTATTTCAAAACCAAGTGAAATAAACAATCTAGCAAAAATCTGAATGTTTCATTAAAATCTCTTACTATGATAATATCTACTTTAAAATGTTGGATTAGACTGTTTGAGTATGTACTACACTTTGAATATAAAATAATAATTAAAAAAATCTTTTGAATATAATCTTTAAAAGAAATATTTTCTAAAAACAATATCTTTAAGTTCCACTACAGAAAACCAATCTATTTTGTGTTTACCCTATCGACACATCTAGTTTTTTTTTCGGAAATAAAACCTATATAGGCACGTGTTTTTCACGATCCAGGCGTAAACCAAAAGCACGTGTATTTTACGGGTAGTTTTACTAGAGTTTAATACGTGTTTTTTGAGGTTTTAAAGTCAAATTTAAATGTCGCATGTTTTTATCATTGGTTTCACATTCCTTACGGAAAGTCATTACAATATGATACTACGTTTCCATAACTGTGAAAACCATTAATACTTTAACTGGTATTTATGGTAAATAGTAATAGTTAATTTCACGGAATAAAAACCATTTTTGATACGTGTTATTCTTTTTATTTTAGAAGGTTTTAAAAACGCAACAGAAACCAAGCGTAACTCTTTTCTGAGTTGTGCCGGCTGGGTAAGTACAGCGATCATCCGTTTATAGAAAAATAACTTTCTCTAAATTAAAAAATTCGGAAAAATGGTTTTGGCCACATTTTCGCGATTTGGACTCATAGTGCGCCTTATGGTAAAAAATATCAATTTTGACTTTTTTACAAAATAAACTTAACGTTATTGAATACATATTTTCAAAGAGTTCTGAAAAATTTATTCGTTTCAAAAAACGTTTTACAAAGAGTTAATTTTTAATTTTTTTAAATAATTTTTCTTAATTGCGTTTTTCTCGAAATATATAATAAGCGTATTAAGGCGTTTTGAAAAACGGCTGCAGCATGTATTTATAATAAAAAAAATAAATGTAGGAAAAAAAACATTTAATTGTCAAAAGAAAGTTTTATTTTTTTTTCTAGCTACGAGCTTTTTTTTTGCCTCCACAGCAGCAATTTCTGGAATAGCAGGACTGTCTTAGAAAGTTTTTTTTTTAATTAAGTTTTAGACAACTTTATTTTCAGACCATCCGCAGCTTATTAGGACTAATTACCTGACCACATTAATAACGTAAGTATCTCAATCGTGACACATACGCAACAAATTTTTTCTTCCGGTGTTTTGATGTTTTTAGAAATTTTAGCTTTTTTAAAATCTTTTCGTTCGTTAAAGTATATAATATCGTTACATATGTTTTTATATAATCTCTATAAAACTTCAATAGTATTTTGTATTTTTAAATACAAAATACTATTGAAGTTTTTCAAGTGAAAATCAATCTATAAAATTTGATAAATATTTTATTATGTTTTAACATTACTTAAATTGAAGTTTACGTACGTTAGATATTTGCATACACGTTCGTTCACGTTTTCATAAAACAAAGTGCTGCAACTCTTTCTCACCATTACCTCAATTGCAATGGCTGTTAAGAGTTTCGTGTCAAACACGCTCGAATGAGCACTACTACTACTACTACTACTACTACTACTACTACTACTACTACTACTACTACTACTACTACTACTACGATAAGTTACTAGCACTATTAAGTTCGGCAATAATATATAGAGATCAAAATATCGACATTATTCATATCTAGGCTTCTTAATTAGTTTCATTTTCAACAACCATAAAACTGGCTCGTTAGAAAATCTTGAATCTTTGTAAAACATCGATAGTTACATTTTCTATCATAGTTTCTTATAAAATGGAAGTTAATTTTCGAATATATTGGAATGACACTAAAACAATCAGATAAGTTTCAAAAAATCATTTTTTGTGCGACTAAAACCAAGTAAATATACTCAACGTAGTTAACGCAAATTAGTAAAACATAAGTTGAAATTTCTTATTAGCAACCTCATCTTGAATCATCGACTATCAAAATTTATTTTTGTTTAATTCAACTACTTCTTTTGTTGTAAAATATTTCCTCATTTTTTTTTGTTTATACAGAATTTAAGAATTTTATAAAGTCATTTTGTGAACATTTTTGCGATTTTACAGTTTGCCTCAAATTGTTTTGAATCAAACTAAAAAAACTTAGTTTGGACGTGATTATAGATAGAAAACAAGAGCAAAAACAATAAAAATGAGCTAGAACTTTTGAAAAGTCTTTAAATTCATAAATTTCCAAAAATAAACCTTTTCTTACCTTTAAGTTATAATGATTTCCAGTAAAAGTATAATAATACAAAAAAAAAAAAATGCTGGTTTTTCTTTAATTTCCTTGAAGATTCTATTTTTTAATAGTTTCTGCAACACTAAGCAAAGCCCGAACTTATAATAGCATACGAGAAGTTGAGACTTCACAGGTCTGGAAATTAGAACTAAAACTAGGATTTTACATTTAATATAATTTATTATATTAAATTATATAACATGTAAATTTTGATAGACATATTACATTTTTAATAAATTTTAAAAGATTTCCTGTAGTCCCCAAGAAGCCTTTGATGTTTTCTTTTTAAAGAATCTAATTGTTTAATTTGTAGACTAGATATTTTACGAAAATATTTTGGTTGTTTAAACTAATAACTGACTGACGGAAATTTCTTGAAAAATACTCTAACTACCTTGAGCTTTGCAATTCGATATTTTATATAATATGCATATACGTTCAAGAATAAATGTAAACATAAATTGATGATATATTTGTATATTGGAAGCAAATTAATTGGTACATTAATTGTATAACACATTATATTGTATCCAAATCTTAGCAAAAAAAAAAAAAAAAAAAAATCTACCAACAGATCGTTGTGAGATTATAAACGAGATATTTAGATCACCAAATAATAAAAAGGTATTTAAAATTTTAAATAACAGTAAAATGACATAAATTACTATTTTTTAGAACAACTAAAAAGAAAACTAAACAAACATAAAATTAACTGCATTGTAAATATAATCACATTCACTTTTATACAAAAAATATATTTATAAAGTGTTTATCGTGTTTAGTGTGTTTAGCGAAATAAATTTTTAATCAAATCCAAAATTTTTTGACAGTTTGTAAAAAAAAAGAAGATCCGCATTGTAAAAACCTTTATAAGAATTTCTTTGCAAGGAATTATATAACAAATCAAAAAAATTAATGTACACTAGTATTCAACAAAATAAACGTTCAGCTACTTTATCAAGATTTTTTAATTCCTAGAAATAAAGAACCCTGAACTTTTTAATTTTAATATCGCATTTCATTAAAACTAACTATAAATACAACAATGAAAAAAATCCAGTCAATCCGAAGAACACAACAATATAAATAACACTTAGAGCTTCAGTTTTATAAAAATGACATCTAAAGCGAAATCGTTCCTAAAAATAACAAACTAAAACGGTTTATAAATGTTTTTTTTTAAGCTAATTTCAAGTTTTTTCTTAAAATATAAAAGTTTTATATATTTGCAACTTACTTTCTATGCTTACTTGCATTCCTGTTAAATGTTATATATTATATAATCTCTCCATTTACATGTTTTTAACTTGTTTTTTTTTAGATATCTTAAAACTTTGTTATTTTTAATGTTATTATTATTACTATTATTATTATTCGTACTATTATTATTATTTTTGTTACTAATAGTAGTTATCATTTTGTTGCAAACTGACATTTTAAACAGTTCTAACCACAGTATTTATTATTCTTATACTCATTTTAAAAATGTGTAATGTGTTAGCATTCCTCTTAAGGAGTATTTTTAAATTCTTAACTATTTTTTTTTTTTATATACCTTGGAATAATATTTAAAAAAACCCATAAATGCATATAGTGTAACTCTTGCTACAGAAGCAAAATAATTTTCAGTTAGGACTGCAAAATAATTTTCAGTTAGGACTGCAGCACAATAATTTAGTATCAGCAACACTGCAAAAACAGAATTTTGTCAGAAGAATAGTTCAAAAAATACTAAATACCAATACCAATTTTAATACTAAATACCAATTTTAACTGATGTGTTTGGAAAGTATTCTCTAACGAGGAAAAAGGCCTAGTTGATTGTCATTGCATTCAAAATTGTAAGATATTACAAAATTGTAAAAATAGAAGACCGACGAGCAATGATGATGATAGTTTGATTTTATGAAAAGATATTTTTTCCAAAAGATATTGAAAATTGCAAGCCAAAAGTTTAGCAAGAGATACCAGTTTCAACAAAATGCTTTTTTTTTAAATATCCAGAAGTTTTCGCAAAATACACACACAAAAAAAAAACTCGAGGTTTTATGGTACTAACCATGCAGCTGCAATATTTACAGAAAATATTGGCACTTTAAAAACAATAGCAAAAATAAAAATTACTGTTTATGGAGTTAATGGAAAATAAAAAGTTCAAATATAGATTTTTTTTCTATTGAATTGCTGGTTTTAAACGAACAAATTCTTGCGGAATCTCCCCCTTAGACATTTCATTTTAATTTCTCAGAAAAATATTCATAATCCAGCAAACTGTGAGAAATTTGAACATACCGGAGTTGTGACCAAGAAAGCTCATCAGAAAACACTTTATAGTTATTATATGAATACTACAGCTGAGTAAGAATAAACATAATTTCAACATCTGCTAGCTACATGTTCAACTGCTACATGTTCAACTTGTCAACCTTTAATAGTAAAAGATAATTGTCAGATCTTTAAATAAACTGACATTTGTATTGCTCTTAGAAATAATATTTGCTGAAAGTAAGCTTAAACATAGACTTTAACATAGTTTGACATAATAATTATTTTTAACATAGTATGACATACTCAATCACATAAAATATACTCTTTTATTTAGTTTTACCTCTTTAAAATAACAAACAAATTTTGCTAGCAAGTTATCAGACAAGCGACCTACCTAGCAAACAAACTTTGAAATTAACAAAAATATTTTGAGGTCAACATTATTTAACCAATAAATCTTCTGTCTTATAAGAATTTCATTGAAATAATCAATAAATTTAAATTACTTACTTTTTAAACACCATTTTGATTTTGTGACATTTGGTTAGCATCACCAACACCAACTGCAGCTAATAAAGAATTAGTGACAGCAGGGGAAGCAATATTCAAAGTACGATTTTGACTGTCCAAATTTGCACGGAATGCATTAACCACACGAATCTGTAAATCAATAAAATAATCAAACAAAGTAATATGAAAAAAAATAATTAAATTCAAATTTTAAGTATACTTGGTATTGCAGCCTTGACAAACTTCTCATCCAAAGTACTTTTCCTAAAGTACTGCCATCTGTTTCTTGAATAGATAAACCTTCACTACCCATGCGAAACCTTTTAGGTATTGTAAATTTGGGAATGCTAACAATAACTTGTCCCCACAAAAGCTCTGTAAATCCTAAGAAAACACACCACATCCATTGGTCAACATCTAAAGGTGCTACTGAAAAAGCACGACCACAAAATTGAACAAGAATAATCTAAAATGATATGTAAAAAAAAAAGAGTTTAGGAATTTATAAGCACTAATTACTAACTTAATAAATCAAATTTTACTTTTATTTATTAAAATTGTAATTTTATAAACATTGATCATCCAGGTCATTTTTTGAAAATCCGGAAAATTGTTCACATAAAATATCCGGAAAAATCCGGAATTTGTTTTCCCTTATTTTCCTTTTAATTTTGCTTTTAGCTTAGTTGCTTTTATTATTTTTTTTTTAACTTTTTTATGAATGACGAGTAAAAAAACTTATAAAACAAATATATTACAAAATTATACACCTTAACTTGTATCTATGGAAAATGTTTTATATACCCGGAAAAACTAAAAGTTGAAAAAATTTTCCGGAATTCCAGAAATATCCGGAAAAAGATAATTCCTGTATAAAGCATTTTTGAAAAATAACCAGGCACTTTACCATATAAAACTTCCATCAAACTGAACAAAGAATTGCAAAAACAACACTGCGTACATGCTTGCATTGTATGCATGATTGTTTAACTAAGACATGCTTACATGAATTTACTAAAAAATAAAAAAGCTTACCTGTACAAGCAAAGTTCCAACAGCTATTATACTAAAAATCTTGTTTGAAAATATTTTTTTGAAAACATTGCGCTCACCATGAACAACCCTAGCATTAATCTCGTTGAATATTTGCATCATAACAAATGTATTGAACAAGATAGTTAAATGTTGAGAAGGTTCATGCAATTTCATTTTTGAAAAACCATTTGGGATATCAAATAATATATGACCACGGAAAGTGATTACCAACATAACAAATAACTGATAAAAACCATGACCAAGTATAAAACGAAGCATTGAGCGAGAAATAAGAGGTTTTGTCCGTCCATATGGTTTTCTTTCCAAAAGAGCATCTGTAGGATGCTCTGTTGCAAGAGCCAGAGAAGCAAAAGAATCCATGATTAAATTTACCCAAAGAAGTTGTATTGCACTAAGTGGACTGACCTTAAAATACATAATAGAATTTGAAAAATTTTTTTAAAGGAAAAATAACTAAAAACAAAAAGAAATTTATATATAGAACACATAAATTAAAAAAAAAAAAAGAAGTACTAAAGTGTTTAAATCATTTAGTTCGATAATAATGCTTACTGATAGTACAATAGATCCAATAACTGAAACAGATATTGCAGTAAAATTTACAGTCAACTGAAACTGAATAAACTTGGAGATGCTATCATAAACATTTCTTCCCCACATTACTGCCTTAACAATACTTCGAAAGTTATCATCCGTTAAAACTATATCTGAGGCTTCTTTTGCAACCTCTGTACCTTGTATCCCCTAAAAAAAAAGCTTATTATGCATGTTTATACACAAACACACACACCAACCCTCGGATTTAGGAAAATCGAGGTCAGCAATAATTTGTAGACCTCAAAAATTGTCAAAAGTTCCAATAAAGACTTGACAGTAAAAACCACAGGTTTATAAATTTACAATAAAAACTCTTATACTGTGTACTTAAGTATGCATGAAACTGCACTAATGAATTCAATACATATATTGATTGAAGGGTTAGGGTATAAACAGGTAATATCTTTGTATGTATAAGACCTATTATATCTAAATATATTTTTTCATTCTTTTTTACCTGGAAAACCTGGATTTAGGCACTCATCAAAAATATTAACATCTACAGAAGATAAAAGTAAAGTGTTGACCATTAAATAATTTACACTCGAATTTAAATGTTGAATTTTCAAAGTTTTACAGCCTTTGCCCACTCACAGTGTTTGCGTCTGCATCTATCATCATAATGTTAAGTTGTTAACTAATGCTCTTAAAATTTTCAAAGACTAGAAATTTAATGGGAATGATTGTTTGCAATAAGGATAATGCAGAGGGCATGTTAAATTGATGTCTGCTATGTCCTGGTATTACTGCTTTAAAATAATTCTTAACAGTAAAATTTGACAAAAGTGATAAAGAAATAACAATTAATCTATGGCAAGGTATTGATAGAACTATACTGATCAAACAAAAAATCAATATTGAAGATGTTATATGCAATATAAGACCTTATATGCAATATAATAGATAAACTAACATCTCATTCACTTATAGCTAAAAGTTAGGCTAAGTACCTTAAAGACTGTAAAGAGTTATTAAATTACAATGAGCGTATAATATTGGTAGACTTTGCAGAGAACGTCCAATTTATTGTTCAGGATGAGGTGCAAAGTTTATCACTAGAATAAACCGAAATGCACACTTCATCCTATTAATCTATACTATAAATCAAATGGTCAACTGATATCTAATTTTGCTTTCTTTTTGATGACGTTGAGCATGATGTATACTTTGTAAAAAAAATACAACAGCTCATTACCAATTACATTAAAGCAAACATTCTACAAATTAATAATATTAGATACTTCACTGATGGATGTGCTGCACAATATGAAAACTTTAAAAACTTTATTAATTTTTGCCATCACAAAAAAGATATTGATATTGATGCTGAATAGTTTTTCTTTGCTACAAACCATGGTAAATCTGCTTGTGATGGCATTGGGGTACAGTAAAACAAATAACTGGACAAGCCAATTTAAAAAAGACTGAGTGGACAGATTTTAGATGTAGATTAAATGATTTCATTTTGGTTTATAAAACAGAAAGTTCGATATAATTACAACCAAGGTTTACCATGGGAAGAACCTTGCCAGGAACAAGATGCTTCCACCATTTCATACTAATTAACAAATGTACAGGATGAGTCAACAAACTGATGTTCAGAAATTTAACCTTGTGCAAATACTAAATGAGCTGGTTGTGTAGCAGGTTATTTATAAGCATATGGATTATGCAGCTTGCAAGTATGACAATTTATGGTGGATTGGAATTATAACCTAAAGAAGAGAGAAAAAAAAAAAGGAAATTATAAAATTCAATTTATGCATCCACATATCCAAGCCCAAATTTCCTTGGCTCGCACGGGAAGATATGTGTTGAGTCCCATCAAATCATGCTATGTACCATTGATCTGCCATCTTTCGCATTTATAAAATTTCAGAAACTGAGTTAAAAAAAATTATTGAACAAAATAATAAAGATTTATAGAAAGAATTTTTAATGCATTTGTATTTTTATATTGTAAGTTATTTTCTTAAATCTAGTTAAGATATAACTTTATGTGAGTATGTGCAATTGGCACAATTTAGCTACTCAAAAAAATTCTCCTAGTGACTTGTTTTTATGTTTTTAACATTAAAAAAAAAAAAAAGAAAAAGGAAGGGGGGATGGTAAAATGTCTAACTGAAACCCCCTCCTCTTTATACCAAGAGCTCTCCCAGCACAATGGGGCCTAACAAATGAAAAAATGGCCAAAAATCATAAAAAACAAGTTTTTTTTTTTTTTTTTTTTAAACTTTAACTGCCTACTTTATATCTCATTTGTAGCTACATCTAAAACCTATTAGTTTGGATTTAAAAAAAAGTTGGATGTTGAGTAAACATTAGACTTAAACTAATTCTGACAGAAATTTATGTTAAAATTCTTATTTTGAGTTTATTTTAATTACTTTGTAACTGCTGTTTTAAGCATATTAATTTATATATTGGTGTAAAGATAATGAAAAAGTCTATCCATATATGCAATAAAATTATTTTAATTTCATTTATTTACAATAGAAATATATATATTTATAGTGTTTTTAGTTTGTTTATAACTTAAAAGCTAGAGATATAACTTCTCTGTTTATGGCCCATGGAAATCTAACTTGCAATAAATACTTGAAACTTAATTCAATCAAATTTGATATAAACTTTGTCTGTCTTGTACTGTTTGATACATTAGTTTTTTCGTTTAAAAAACTTTTTTTTGTATTTTTTTTTTAATTATTAAAGAAAGAAGACTATTAATAATAATATATAATATCTATAAATTTATTCAAAATAAATAATTATTTCAAAATAATAATTTATTTTTAAATAAATAATTATTTTAAAATAAATAATTATTTATTTCAAAATATATATAAACTATATATATTTTGAAATAAATAATTTTGTAAATAGTGAAAAAAATCACCGAATGTCAATTTATTGCAAAAGAAATGCTTATCAGATTCTATTTTTAAAATAATGGTCACAATTCTTTCAAAAATCATTTAATTTAGAATACATTTTTTTATAACTGTGCAAAATTTCAAATCGATTGACAGTCTTTTTGATTATTGGCCATTTTTACTTTGTTAGGCCCCATTGTGCCCAGGTACAAAAAATAAAATAGAATTAAAGTATAAATTTACTATTGCCCTCGAAAAGACATAAAAATTAAATTAAGCTAATTTTCTCAAAAATAAGTTAGCAATAAGTTTTATGCTGATTCAGCATATATATAAGCTTTAATATATTTTTATTAATAGTGATGTTTGGTACCTATATTGAAAGTTATAACAACAAAAAATCAAAATGCCATTGCCATTTTGACAGTCAAAATACCATAAAATATATGCCTTTATTTTCTAATTTACATGTAATTAAAGTGTTTAAAAAAATTTTCAAGTTAAAATTTGTATCCGCCATGTTCGGAAGATTGCCTATGTTCAGAATTTCATAAAATATTGCTATTTAACAACAAAAAAATATTATGCAAAAAATGCTTTTTTGTTAAATAACAATAGTCAGCATAAATAAGAAAATTAAATCCCAAATATCTTAAGAAAGTTCCAAATTTCAGATTTTCCTAATTTTCATAAACCCTATAACGTAATAAATTAGCAAAATCCAAAACACGGAGTGACATTTTTTGTTCTTTTCTGCTGATTTGACATGGAATTATCCGTTAGGAGATAACAGAAAATTTCTGTTGACCAGCCTCACACCTTTTCTTCATCTAAAAGGCATAGATGCTAAGCTGTGTTAAATTGGAGATAAAACTTATGTTACTATTGTCTTAAAACAGATTGAGATTTCTCAATGGCTTTTTGTAATGAACTATGGGTTGATGTGTTTTGTTTCCCTGAATAAAATTTTCCTTCCTATGTAATTGCCTTGATTCACAACAATCTTTCGAGTAAAACTTTTTAAAACCCATTTTCTATTGTTTAAAACAAGCAAAGTATTTTTGCTTATTTAAACCTTTTAATATGATATAAATAACATAACTAGTAATATATAATACTCAACTTAATATATAATTGTTTTACATATTTACAACAAAACTTTTTTTTTTGTTAATTGTGTTTTTAATTTATTTTATTCCTTATAATAACTATGTTTTATTAACATGAAAATTATGATTAGAACTTGTAAAAAAACACACCATTGCAAATCCTACATCTGCTTTTTTAAGGGCTGGTCCATCATTAGTACCATCACCAGTGACAGCAACAATTTCTCTAGCTTTGCTTAGTTTGCTGTCAATTATTCCTTTAACAAGGGTATATTTATCTTCAGGAGATGATCGTGCCATTACACGTAACTTTGGCCATAGTTTGTCTATTAATTCTTGTTGTACCTGAAAAAAAAAGTTCAAAAGACAACTTTATATAAAAATGGTTGCAATGAAAACTTTCTTTAAAAAAACACATATTTAAAATATAACAGTATATACATATATATACATATATACACAATATCTTTTATCTATACAGATTTTGTGTATATATGCTTATATATCATACAAACATATACATGATATCTTTTCTTCTGATAAAGTGTATTTTAGGCAATTCATTAAAATACAAAATATAGCAGCTACCTGTATATATTCTACTGACACAATTCTGTAGCTTCATTTGAAGCAATTAAGGCTCCTTAGCTATTGAATGCAACTTACCTAGATGAAGGAATTTTAAGATATAAAACCCCCACTTTAATTGAGGATAAGGGTAAAAAGAAAAGTTTGTAAAATTTGGATGGCAAGTATGTCTAGTAGAAGAAATTTTATGATATAAAAACCTCCACTTTAATTGTAGATTAGGGTAGAAAGAGAAGCTTGTTAACTTTGGATGGTAATCTTCTTAGTGGTGGTATCAGAATAAAAATACTCCTGATCTCTAAGAATCTCTTATGATCTCTGTTGTTCCAATCAACAAAACAAGTTAATGCCAACAAAGTCATACAGCCTTGATGTCATACAGCCATAAAAAATTACTTAAATTATGTAATTTAAATTAGAAAATAGCTTGTGAAAGTCCATGTAAACCACACAAAAATGGATGTTTAACAAAAAATATTACTATTTAACTTTTTATCTTCTAGCGCCAGTTTCTCCTTTAGTAAAATCATCAAGAAGAATATGCAAATACATTAACATACATTTATAACAACAATAAAATACAACAACCTTGTTAACAAAGCAATTGTATTTTAATGCTTTGAAAAAATAAAGGGAGATAGTGTTTAACAACATCCTTTTAAATTTTAGTGCGTAATAACATCTTTTTAATTTTTAGTGGATGATAATATCTTTTTATGTTTTCAGACAACTTAAATTTTTTTTTAATACTAATAAAAACCACAATTTTAAATAAAAATTAAATAAATAAAAAGTTATGAGAAGAAAAGAAAAACAAAGTTCTTATAATTCAAAAAGCACAGTTTGTACCACAAGAAGAAATGATTCTACTTGAAACATATTGTACCATGAGAAAAAATAGTAAAAATATGGTTATACTAAGTGTTAAAATTAGGATGTTTTTAAATAATATTTTTTGAAAGTTATTGTAATAACAGCCTTCTGTATGTATACTAATTATATAGTTTCATAATATATAACCTTCATGCTATATATACAACTTGTATAACCTTCATGTTATATATACAACTTGTATAACCTTCATGCTATATATACAACTTGTATAACCTTCATGTTATATATACAACTTGTATAACCTTCATGTTATATATACAACTTATATAAAGATTATGAATGAGACTAAATAGTTAGTATATATACTTTTCATTTATATTTAAACTTTATAACAAAAGTTCTTTTACAAATATAGTCATGGTTTATTCTAATTTTATTTATAATGAAGATTTTATTTATTGCTTGTTATGAGAGTATTTTTTTTGTTAAAGTTACAATATTTACAAATAACAAATGTTTATTTAAACAACCTAAAAATGTAAAAATTTAAAGAATTAAAAAAAGTGATATTTTTGTTTCTATTCAATATTACATAAAAAATATACTCCATTATTTGCCTCAAATTGAATTTATTTAAAGCATTGTTTTTATACCTGTGAAGTTTATTATCAGAAATTTAAAATAATATAAAGTTTAAAGTAATTATTCCAAAAACAATTTTGTTTTTTACACATATTTTATATAGAATCTTAAAACCCTCTTAATATAATGATTAATATGAGTTGTCACAGTTGTATTCAAAACCTCATGTTTAAATTTTGTATCTACATATCAGAATTTTTTTTTTTACTTTATTCAAATCGGAATTTAATTTGAAAAATTTTTTATGATTGTTATAGATTGTTATAAAATACTTTTTATTCAGCACTACAAATTATGTAAATACTTGTGTTTTCATAATGCTATTATTTTGTGATTAATAGTATTAGGCTTGGTATTAAATCTCATTCTTTAACTTGATATTAATTTTTTAAACTTTTTTTAAACAAACATTTATTGTGTAAATAATGATGTTAAATAACAATGCTATATGCTTCAATGTGTTGAAAACATAAAAGCAAAAAACTAATCAAAATGTTGGCATTAAGTTTTTTTTTTTTTCTTTTTTTTTTACATTTTAAGTTTACATTTGTCATAATACAATACTTTAACAAATACAAACAAGGTTTCTGAAAGAAGATCGTACTGATCTTATCATCAGAACCTTTTACAAGCATTTAGCCTAATTATTTACAATGTATATAATCTATCTATAAAATAAACAGTAAAAGTAAAAAGTAAAACAAAAAGATAAAAAATAAAACAAAAAGAGTCGTTACATATAACGTATTTTACAATTAACATAAAACGTATTTTACAATTAAAAAAGTTCTATATAAAGGCACATAATTACAATTAGAAGAACCTTATTATGTCATCGGAAAATAAAATAAAATTTTTGAGTCTATGTTTGAAAATTGGAAAAGTGTAACATATATCAAAATTTGGCAAAACAACTTTATTCCAAGGATATGGCGCACGATAAGCAATACCATACTGGTTAAACTTTGTTCGACAAAAAGGTTTATGCAAAAATTTATTATTTCCAAGTATGTATTTATTTATTGGTTTTTCACAAAAGAGAACTTTAAAGATAGGTAGAGATAAGTCATTTTCCCACAAATACATAAAGCATAAAACATTAAACACATTAAGCTCGTAAATATTAAGAATTTTCATTTCAATAAAAAAAGTTTGGAATGAGTATCGATCCGCAAAATTAATTAAACGGATCGCATGCTTCTGACAACGGTAAAGACATTGTAATTTGCTTTTTTCTGTGCTTCCCCTAGCAATATTTGCATAATTTAAATAGGTATGAATAAATGAGTAGTATAGTTGGGTTAAATCTTTTTTACATAGATATGTTCTGGATTTATATAAAATTCCAATGCTTTTAGAAATTTTTGTGCTAATATAGCCAATATGCGCTTTCCATGTGATGTTTTCATCAAGAATAACACCCAAAAACCTTGTGACATAGTGTCTTTTTATCACAGTATTATCAATAAAGATTTCTGGTAAATTTTGGGGTAAATAAGGTTTTTTTGCGATTGGATGGAAGAGAATCCATTTTGTTTTGTTACTGTTAAGAGTTAGCTTATTGCATATAAACCATTTTGATATGTTTTTAAGTTCATCGTTCATACTAGAAAAGAGTTTGTAAATATCATTATTGGAAAGAAATAAGTTGGTGTCATCAGCAAAAGGGGTAAGCAGAGTTAGGGGTAAGCAGAAAAATTCTGCTAACCAGCCTCGAACCCCTTCTTCATCTATTAGGCTGGCGTAGATGTAACCTGTGTTACATTGTTTCCTGCCTAGGATGATGAATGCTGGATCTCCTTGACTCTACTCATAAAATTTTGCTTATGCCTTTATGATAATGGCTATGCAACTCTTCCTGTTATCTCCATATGAGGGTACAGCTCTAAAACTCAGTTTAATGGTTCTGAGGCCGGCTGGTAGTAAGGTTTCCCGAACTCTGTGGTAGCTCTCAGAGAGGCTGATTCCATCAACAGCTGCAAAATATCAGAGTATTAACAGTGCTATGTTGCGCATGGATGGTGTCCCTGTTAATGCTTTTGGTGTGCATTGTCAAGGCCACATAAGGAGCCCTATGTCACAGCTTAGGGTTAATTAACAGGACTGAGACAACTGCATAGCTCATTGATTAGGAGGCTGTGCTCTATCTATGAATGAGTCAAGTTCTCATTAAACCCAAATCATGACCAAAGTAACCAAAAATTTAAAACCTAAAAAACCATCCCCACCACCTAAATATTTTAATATATCTTTTACAAATATTCGCGGTCTACGAAGCAACTTTCCATCAGTTGAGTCTTACCTCCTGCAAAATTCACCAGACTTGCTTGAACTCAGTGAAACAAATTTAAGTTCTGCAATTCCTTCTTCAGATGTCAGTGTTGATGGGTACTATCCTTTGATTCGTAAAAACTCCAATAGTCACATGCTAGGTTTAGGGGTATACATACGCATTAATTCCCCTATTTGTCGTGAAATCAGGTTCGAATCCTTTGACCATTCTTTTATGTGCTTTCGCCTAGCACCTCTTCACTCTATCACCTTTCTCTTTGTTCTTTATCGTTCTCCTTCTTCCCATGATTGCACTCTTTTAGATGTTATCTCTGATCAAATTGACCATGCCCTCTCTCTTTACCCCTCTGCCAATATTGTTGTTGTTGGTGATTTTAATGCCCATCACACTGAATGGCTTGGCTCTAACACCACTGATCCTGCTGGCACTAAAGCCTTTAACTTCTGCGTTTCTCAATCTCTTACTCAGATAGTTAACTTTGTGACTCGTTTTCCTGACAACCCTAATCATTTACCTTCACTCCTTGACTTATGTCTTGTCTCTGACCCTAGCTTATGTTCAGTTTCTCCCTTTTCTCCCTTAGGTGGTTCTGACCATGCAATGATCTCTATAAATCTTTCTTCTCGTACTTCTTTTTTATGCTCACCTTATCATCGCACCACCTACTACTACCCTAAAGCTGACTGGGATTCCTTTCGTGATTTTCTTCGTGATGGTCCTTGGGCTGATGTTTTTTCTCTATCAGCTGACAAATGTGCCTCCTACGTAACCTCCTGGATTCAGGCTGGAATGGAAGCTTTTATTCCTTCTCGTCCGTTTCAAGTCAAGCCTCATTCTACTCCATGGTTTTCTCCTTCTTGTGCGGCTGCTATATCCAATCGTAACCATTTTTTTCATCTTTTTCAAAAGAACAACTCTCTTGAGAACAAACGACTATTTATTATTGCAAGAAATCGATGTAAAAAGGTGCTTTCTGATGCTAAACTCC